AATGTCACTAGTCGCTGCTCATCCTACACCTACATATGTATTTATTTATTTTTAAAATCTCATATAAGCCATGCTCTTATTAAGTAGGCGGCTGAATAATATAGGCTTTTATTAGATTATCAAGGATTATTAGCTTAATTACCTATACCAGGACCACATATGTTTATATAAATATATATCCATATATATATTTATATGAGTTTTCATCACATCGTTAAATCAATACCTCCAATAATCTCAGTATCAAAAGCTGTTAAAATCAACTGAGTGATATTTGAAGTTTAATTTTTGTATTCCAATACGTAACATAACTGTAATACTAGAGATAAAAATAAGCAATTCTGTTCTTCTAAACAAGGGGTGATAACATTTTCTCTCCTCCCAAATTTTCTCCCATCCAAATGGAATATAAGAGACGGTCTTTTAATCGAATTTAATGTCAAAACATTCACAAGTAAATATATTTCATTTCGCACTTATTTTTTTCCTTTGAATCTTTGTTCAAGCACTATTCAATGCTATATGAAGGATGACCTGGCAGGAAAAAAATTTCAGCTAATGATGCGTATGAGAAATCTTACCCCAAAAAAAATTAGTTTATAGATCTAACCTTATGATGGGAATCTTCTAAAATTGAAATGTAATTTCTGAAGCTGTGAAAACATATTAGCTTTGTAACTTTAAAGAACAGAATAATAACTTTTGAGGAGTGCTAAAAGTTAAAATGTTTTCAAATTCTTAAAACTAATTATAATCTCAATTTTAAGTAAAAGTGCTCTCCGGTAAGAGGTTGATTTTATTTATTTATTTATTTATTTTGGTTGATTCGACCCAACAGGATAGATGACCGAAAAATAAAAAAAATCATCAATCTGTTGTTTTTTCCTCTCTTCAAATATCGCACAAACTTGTCTCCCACTTTCTCCGCTGTTGTAATTGGGTAGCTAGTTAGGCCCATAGTTGTATTAGGCCCATTATTGTATCTTATCAGGTGCCTGTATATTTGCACCTTGACACTCATTGTACATGGCTCTATTACTCAATAATATTCACATATTATAAGGCTAATGGAAATTTGGATAAATTCAAAGCAAAATTAGTTGCAAAAGGATCTAACCAAAGGAAGGAATAGACTTCTATGAAACATTTCTCTTGTGGTTAAGATTGTAACCATTAGGATTATTCTTACCCTGGCTACTGTTAATAATTAGATTAGATGTCAAATGGATGTGGACAATGCTTTCTTGTAGGGAAACTTAGATGAAGGGGTGTATATGACTATTCCTCATGGTTTTATGAGAAAGGGGGAGAATGAATTTACAGTATGCAAACTAGAAAAGTCACTGTATGGGCTTGAACAAGCCTCTAGACAGTGGAATGAAAAATCATCCAAGTCTTTGATAAAAGGTGGATTTCAACAGAGCAAATATGACTATGCTTTATTCCATAAACAAATTGGTCAAGATGTGGTTTATATTCTTGCTTATGTTAATGATCTACTAATCACAGGAAGTGATCCTCAAGCAATTAATAATGTAAAGAGCTATCTACATAGTGAATTTAAAATTCAAAGACCTTGGAATTTTGAAATATTTCCTTGGTCTAGAAGTTTTGCGAACAAAGCATAGCATACTCAACCAGAGAAAGTATGCAACAGAACTAACTGATCAAACAGGTTTAGATGAAGCTGATGAACCACTAACACCCATGGAGCAAAATTTGAAACTTATAGCAGAAGAGACAGAAGAAGATCCTTTCCTTTAAGAGGCTGGAACATATAGGAGGTTGATCAGTAAGTTGCTATACCTAACTCTAACTAGACCTGACATTTCTTTTGCTGTGCAAGTATTAAGCCAATTTATGCAAACACCAAAGGAGTCACATATGAAGGCTACTTTGAGGGTAGTCAAGTATATGAAGGATTGCCCAGGCTATGGAATATTTTTATTAGCAACAAGTCCAATGCATCTTGAATGCTTCTGTGATTCTGACCATGGGAGATGTTCAGATACAAGAGATCTGTTATTGGTTTTCTGTCAAACTAGAAGGATCTCTCATATGTTGGAAGTCCAAGAAACAAAACACTATTTTCAGGTCATCAGCTAAAACCAAATACCAAGCACTAGTAATGGTAGCATTTGAACTTACATAGATAATAGGCTTACTTGAAGAGTTGGGTATACATAATATTAAGCCTCTTAAATTGTATTGTGCAAGCAAAGCTGCCATTCACATTGCTTCAAATCCTGTTTTTCATTGTAGAAAATAGAATAATATGGAGAATAATTCTCTTGTATTTCATTGATCAGAATATACACATATATATACAAGTGAGAGGAGCCTTTGCATTAATGGCTCATTATGATAATATCATATCCTATCAAATCCTAATCATAATTACATAATATTTACATATCAAATCATATCATATCTCTACACTCCCCCTCAAGTTGGAGCATAAATGTTAAGCATGCCCAACTTGTCACACAGATAGTCAACACGAGTCCCATTTAGAGCTTTAGTTAGAAGGTCGCCTAATTGATCACTAGAACGCACATATCCAGTGGAGATGAAGTTCTCCTTAAGCTTGTCTCTGATAAAATGACAATCAATCTCAATATGTTTGGTACGTTCATGGAACACATAATTGGAGGCTATATGTAGGGCAGCCTTATTGTCACACCACAACTTTGCTGGCAAAGTGGTTTTGAGGCCAACTTCCTCACATACAGACTGTGCCATAGCTCGGTATTCTGCCTCTGCGCTCGATCTGGACACCACATTTTGTTTCTTGCTTTTCCAGGACACCAGATTCCCGCCCACAAAGACACAGTATCCTGTAGTAGACCGTCTCGTGGCCTTTGATCCACCATGATCCGCATCACAGAAGCACTCAATGTCTGTATGGCCATGATTTTTGTATAATATCCCACGACCTGGACATCCCTTCAAATAATGTAACACGTGCTCCAAGGCTTCCCACTGTCTGACAGTCGGGGATGCCATGAACTGGCTTAGTACACTGACTGGATAAGTAATATCCGGACGAGTTACAGTGAGATAGTTTAACTTGCCAATCATTCTCCTGTACCTCTCAGGATTCTCAAATGGTTTGCTCTTCTGAGCCTCAAGCATCCGTTTCTCATCATCAAGAGAATCATCGAGTGGTATGCTCCCATCAGCGTCAAGGAGTGGGTTGTGAACCATAGGAAACTTAGTCGGTGCTGCTCCCAACTTTCCAGTTTCCTTCAGGAGGTCAAGAACATATTTGCGCTGTGTCAGTAATATGCCCTTCTTGCTTCTCATAACTTCAATACCTAGAAAGTATGTCAGAGAGCCCAGATCCTTCGTCTGAAAGTGGGAATTAAGAAAGGACTTGAGGGACGAGATGCCCGAACCATTACTGCCTGTGATCACAATGTCATCTACATATACCACCAAGAGAATCATGCCAGCCGCTGTTCTTTGATAAAATACAGAATGATCGCACTTGCTTTGGCTCATGCCAAATTTCTGTACGACAGTACTGAACCGGTCAAACCATGCACGAGGGCTTTGCTTCAAACCATACAAGGACCTCTTAAGGCGACATACTTTCCCATGCTCCCCCTGAGCAACGAACCCAGGTGGTTGCTCCATATAGACCTCTTCATGAAGATCACCATGTAAGAATGCATTTTTAATGTCTAATTGATGTAGATCCCAATCATAAGTAGCAGCCAGAGAGATGAACAGACGGACAGATGAGAGCTTAGCAACAGGAGAAAAGGTTTCGGAATAGTCAATGCCATAGGTTTGTGCATAACCTTTAGCCACAAGGCGAGCCTTAAGGCGGTCAAGTGTGCCGTCAGCCTTAGTTTTCGGAGTGAACACCCATTTACATCCAATGGCCTTTTTACCCGCCGGTAAATCGACCAGGGTCCATGTACCAGCCCGATCAAGGGCCGCCATCTCCTCTTCCATTCAGCATTGCAGCACACCAACCTGAGTGGGCCAAGGCTTCACGAATAGTTCTGGGCACAGAGATAGTATCTAGGGAGGCAACAAAGGAACTGGACACAGGAGACAAGCGGTCATATGAAACAAAGGACGAAATAGGATGGGCACAAGTACGTTTACCTTTGCGAAGGGCAATGGGTAGATCAAGAGAGGCATCCGGGTCTGGAACAGGAGGTGTCTCAGGATTAGGGTCAGAACGAGGTTCAGTGTTGCTCAACTCAGGATCTGAGGGCGAGGCGGACCAGGGAGGAATAGAAGCTGGCGTGGCGGTAGTAATCTCCTTTGACCGTCGTGTATACACACGATCAAATGGTTGAACGAGTGCGGGAGCGGGTGCTTGCGACGACAGTGATGGTGAGGTGACAGAGTATATTAGAAGGTCATCCTCCTCCGCAGGTGGAGCAGGTGGGGAAGAATGCGAGAAATATGGTGTGGACTCCTGAAAGGTGACATCTGCAGATACTAAATAACGATTGAGAGTAGGTGAGAAACAACGATAACCTTTTTGGACCCGAGAGTATCCAAGGAAGACACATTTAAGAGACTTGGGGTCTAACTGTGAAATAGATGGACGTACATCCCGCACAAAACAGACACACCCAAATATCTTAGGAGCAATAGGGAACAAAGGCTTAGAAGGAAAGAGGGTAGAAAAAGGAGAGTTACCATCAAGAACAGAGGAAGGCATTCGATTAATAAGGAAGCAGGCAGTGGAGACCGCGTCAGCCCAAAATGGTTTAGGAACCTGCATTTGAAACAAAAGTGCACGGGTCACCTCAAGTAGGTGGCGATTTTTTCGTTCTGCAACACCATTTTGAGCTGGTGTATCGACACAAGACGACTGATGAAGTATACCATTTTGAAGCATGTAAGATTGGAACGAAGCAGAGAGATATTCTTTAGCATTATCACTTCGTAAGGTGCGAATAGAAACATTAAATTGAGTTTTAATCTCAGCACAAAAGGCACAAAAATGGGAAAACAATTCAGAACGATGTTTCATTAAATATAACCAAGTTGTCTGGGAATAATCATCAACAAATGTAACAAAGTATTTAAACCCTGCTTTGGACTCTACAGGACAAGGACCCCAAACATCAGAATGGACTAACTCAAAAGGGGATGAAACCCGTTTATTGACACGAGACACTAAAGGAAGACGATGATGCTTGGCAAACTGACATGACTCACAATCTAAAGACGACAAATGCTGAAATTGAGGATAAACTTTCTTAAGAGAAGATAGAGACAAATAACCCAATCGACAATGAACTTCAAAGGGAGAATGACTGCTAGCGCAAGCTACCGCATGAGACACCCGATCATCCAGTATATAGTGCCCGCCAGATTCATAACCTCTACCAATAATCCGCCTCGTCAAAAGATCCTGTATCAAGCAATGAGAAGGAAAAAGTGAGACCCAACAGTTTAGTTGACGGGTGAGTTTACTGGGAGATAGGAGATTAAAAGCAAGTTTAGGAACATTTAGCACAGATGACAAACGGATAGAGGGTGTGGGATTAACAGTGCCAAAACCGAGAACTTGAGACTGGGAACCATCAGCGATGGAAACACTTGACGGATTGGCAAAAGCATTATAAGAGGAGAAGAGATGGCTGTTACCTGTCATATGATCAGTAGCCCCGGAATCTATGATCCACTTTGAGGAAGAAGAAGCAAGGGCAGTAGCATTATTACCTGTTGTAGCTGCGGCACTCACAGACGGTGTAGTAGATTTTAACTGGGCATACTCAGCAGCAGAAATCGTGACTGTGTCACTGGCTTGTGTAGCCATGTGGGCACTGGCTTGTGTAGCCACGTGGGCAGAGTTATTCCGTTGCTGTTTATTCTGAAGTTTTCGACATGTGCGTTTTGTATGCCCCGGTTCTTTGCAGTAATAACACACTACCCCACTGGAGTCAGAAGGGGCTCCCCCTTGCTTCGAACCACCACGGGTAGGCCCCCCGCGGTTATCAATGGGACTACGAGTCTCATAGGTGCCCTTACTGAGCAAGGCACTTGTAGGAATACTAGCAGCTGGTGGCAAGAGATTCTCAGCTCTCATTACTCTGGAAAACACATCTTGAAGGTCAGAAATTTAGATCCGGATAAGATTTGAGACCGAACTGTGTCGTACTCAGGTGGGAGACCAGTAAGAAAGCTCATAATAGCCATTTGCTCCCGTTGCTTATGCTGAACCTTCAAATCAGCAGTAAGAGGCATTAACACATTCAGTTCTTCATACATCCTTTTAAAGTCCATAAAGTAGGCTTTGAGAGGACGATCCTGTTTTTCAGAACGATAGAAAGCTTTGCAGACCTCGTAAACACGAGAGATATTTCCTTTTCCTGAATACAAAAAATCTAAATAATCCATTAGTTCCTTAACCAATTCACAGTGATTAATAGAGGGAATAATCTCACTGTCAATGGAATTACGGATCTGGAAAAATAGCCGTGCATCATCCCGCAACCAGGTCTTTTTGGAATCAGTTGTTGGAGGATCATCAGTCAGATGGTCTTCCTTCTCAATGCTCCGCAGATAGAGGCGAATGGTTTTACTCCAATCTAAATAATTTACCCAAGTCAACTTGTGATCAGTAATTTTAGTAATAGTTGGGACAAGCTCCGAGACAGATTTAATTTCCGCCATAGATGAAGTGCACTAACCAAAGGGAATGCGAAAGAGTGTTACACAGGAACACAAAGCACGATACCTGGATTACCTAATAAATACCAAAGCAGTGAAAAGGCCAACAGCTACACAGGGAGCTGCAAACAGAACTGAATTGCACAAACAGCGTGCTGGAGATGCGCCAGAAACGAAACAGAACGCCGAAAGTAATAACCGTACGGACACTGTACGGACGACAGTGCAGAACGCCGGGAAGTCGATGAACAGTGCAGATCGTACGGACTGTACGGATGCCGAGTGAACAGTGCAGAGCGCCTGAAAAAGTCGATGAACAGTGCAGGCGTACGGACACTGTACGGACGCCGAGTGAACAGTGCAGGCGGTGGCACCAAAGGAAGCGTCGGGAAGAGGGTCACGAGCTCACACAGTAATTTTGGTACTGTAGCAGCCGAAAATTAACACCCAGAAAGAAAATTCCCACGCTCTGATACCATGTAGAAAATAGAATAATATGGAGAATAATTCTCTTGTATTTCATTGATCATAATATACACATATATATACAAGTGAGAGGAGCCTCTGCATTAATGGCTCATTATGATAATATCATATCCTATCAAATCCTAATCATAATTACATAATATTTACATATCAAATCATATCATATCTCTACATTCATGAGTGAACTAAACACATAGAAATTGACTGCCACTTTGTAAGAGAGAAACTCATGAAAGGAATGATTGTTTTTGAACAAGTTAGATCATCACAGCAGCTAGCAAATATATTAACCCAAGGTTTATGTGGTCCTTGATTGAACCCAATTTTTTTTTGGTCTTTTCATATCATTTTCAAGGCTTTTATCATAGTTAGTGGCTTTTAGTGATAATTATGCTTAATTTTGATTAAGAGTCCTTGCTTTGAGTTAGTGTCTTTTTTATGATCAAATTGTCATAATTGGTTATTAATTATATTCAATTAATTTTTAGAACAATTAAGGCTTCAAATTGTTGTTTTTTTATAGAAGGACACCTAAGAATTAGAGCCAAGATTAGAGATCAAGGGATTACGCAAGAGAAGACCTAGAATATTGTTCCTGGAAAGCTTCGCTACGGCCAAGGAAATTATGCGTTGCAGTGCAATTAGAAGTTGGGTATTAGTGTCCATTCGAGATGTATTCATCGAGGCCACAATTCGTCTTTACTACAGTAAACATTTCCCTTCGCCGCGACGAAGGCCTCGTATCAACAACCCAGATTTGGATCCTAATCACAAAATTAGAATACCCAATGACTAAATCTAACCCACTTCACCAACTTTAACCCTTAGAAACTCTATTTTCGACTTAACACTTCATTCATTTATCAAGAGTCTCCTCCATTCATCCTTTCTCACTCTCCCTCACCAAATCTTCATCTTCCTCCATTTTTCCTTCATCTTCCACTACAGGTAGCCCAAAATCATTACTAGTTATGGTGCTTCTTCCTCCAATGTGTGGCTAGACATATGTTCTCTTAAAGATAGGTTGATTGGCGTGAGTTCCAAGAGCTTCAAAGGGGATTTGGCTTCATCTATAGTTCTAGTTGCTTGTTTAAGAATTCCTAGATCTATGATTTGTAAAATTGTGGTTGAACTATGTTGGTTATGATTGTAATCAATTTTGGATGATTATCATGTGCATTGGATTAGTTAATATTGAATGTGAGCTTCAATACATGTGATTTTATGTATATTTCTATGCAATTCTTTTGATACTCTCTTTCTTGCATGATATCGTTTGATTATTGAGTTAATTTGGATTTGCATTGAACCAAGTGTGTTAATTGATCCTAATACACACACTAAGCGAGCTTCATAGGGTTTTATGATTTGATGGCCATTCATTAAGACCCTAGACTTAAAGGATACATTAAGGTTTTTCATTTAAAAAACTTAGTAATTTCTACTCCCAAAATCATTTTGAACTATGATTGCCAAAGATCCATTTTCAAAAGGGTTCATCAAATGTTTCCAACTTGTTTCCCATCCATTCCATTCCAATCTCCCAAAAATCTAAAAAATATATTTACATTGCATTCCACTTCAGTTAATAGTTTTAATGAAAACCCCTAACGTTTCCCTAGTCAATTTGTATTCTTATGACATTTAGTTAATTTAGGATCAATAACTAGGGCTCCAACAAGAAAATGACTTGGGGTTGCACCCTATAATGCAATTATTGGATTAATTTTGCATTCAACCCCAAGGCATTAAGTGAACAGTTAAATTGATGGCGCTGTTGTCGAGGAGCTAAGAAATTTGTTCCTTATGTTAACTTGTGCCAACTAAGAAATTTGTTCCTTATGTTAACTTGTGCCAACTCATTGTTGACTGGGTTAAGAGCCTTTTTAGATTGCATTTAGGTAGTTTACTTACATATTTGTTCATAACATAGGTTTTTCATTTTGCACAGCATCAAAATTTTGAGAAATACAAACAAAGATCCTAATTTTCTTTCTTTTCATACTTTACATTCTGTATTTGCATATAGGTCAAACCCTGTTTTTGCATTGTTTGGAACTTTTCACTACCGCAATCTTGCAGGATTTTGCTGGAATCCCTCTTGGGATATCTTCGCTGCAGCCAACTTTCCCTCTCATTGTGGCGTGACTAGCAGTTTCAGATCTCTTGCTTGATTCGAGATAGTGTCATTGTGGCAATCATTCTGCTTCGCCATAGCCAAATATTTTTGAAAAAGTTTTGGAAAATCTTTGTTTGCTCTTTAGTCTATGCATACATACATCCTCATACTTTTATACCCTCACACACTTACATTCATCACATCTCATCTTTTTACTTGATTTTGTGTGCGTGCAAGTCAATTTTGTTTTCTTCTATTATGATTTAATTTACTCTCTTGCATGTCTCGAAAGACCAAACTTGTATCCTATAACCCCAAGATTGAAAAGAGTTTGAGAAAGATAAGAAAAGAAAAGAGAGTTGAGGGGACAAGTGAGGTAGTGGTTCAAGAAGAAAATATCTCTGTAGAGTCTAACTTTTCTAGTAGTGAGAGTAAACTAATTGAAGAAGAGATTATGACTAACATCCCACCTAATCCACCTAACCCTAACCCTAATGCTAACCAACTGAGAAATGGTGGCAATAGAGGTAATAGGAAGCATGAAAGAGTTGGAGAGAATAATGGCAACCCTAGAAGAAGAACCATTAAAGAAGCCGCAACGTCTGATATTAATTTTGATCCCTTTATTGCTGCTTGTCCTAACTTTGAAGTAAATTTTGAGATTAAAGATTTATTAATTAACTCACTTTCAAAGTTTCATGGCTTGTCAGGAGAAGATCCATACCTCTATTTGCAATCTCTTTCTATAGTGTGTCAGAGTATAAAGCCTATGGGAACATCTCTGGACCAAGTCTTATGGAAGGCCTTTTATTTATCTTTGGAAGGAAAAGCTAGAGAATAGTATATGAGTCATCTAAGACATGTGGCTGATGCCTATTATAGTTGGGGGAACTTAAGGAAAGGGTTTTGGAGAAATACTTTCTAGCTTCTCAGACTTCATCAATAAGGAAAGAGATCTATTCAGCCAAGCAATACCACAATGAATCATTATATAACTATTGGGATAGATTTCAAGATCTCCTTTCAAGATGATCACACCATCAGATAACAAAGGAACAACTAGTACAATATTTTTATTATGGATTAAGAAATCAAGAAAATGATCTGCTAGATGTTGCATTAGGAGAGCCTTTGATTGACTCAATTGCTTAAGAGGCATGGGACTTAATCAAGAAAATGGCCTTAAATCTCCAACAATATAGGCCTAAAAATGCAAGAGTTGTGCAAGAACTAGGACTTTCAATTGCACATGCTAAGATAATTAATTCTCTTGAAGCTATGGTGGACTTTCTTGAATTCAAGATCACATCGTATCTTTCTCTAATCACTACTGAGTTAAACAATCTAAGTGTTCAAAAGACTCCTTCTGCTTCTAAAGCTTTAGGTGTTCTGAACTGTGACACTTGTGGATCTATTATGCATGTCACTAGCTTATGTCCTAACACCCCTGAAGAGGTGTTAGCTATCTTTCAAGGGAGACCAAACCATGATCCAAAATGAAATACCTACTCCAACACCTATAATGAAGGATGGAAGCCTAATCCAAATTTAGATGGAGTAATGGGGACAATAATAATAACTTCAAGGGGAGTACTTCTGGAACCATGGTTCCTTAAGAGCAATATTCTAGAGATGATGATAAATTTGCTCAAATTCTTAAAGGTATCCAAGTGATCAATGATAATATTTTAAAGACTGAAACTAGGGCTAAAGCAAGGTTTGCCTCCATTGAAAGCAAGATGGTGCAAATAGAGACTAGGGCCAACAACATTAATGCTTATGTTACTCAACTATCTAATACTATGAGTGACCAACAAGCTTAAAATTCAGGAATTATAACC